TTGTTTTCTGTCAAAGTTTTTAAGTAATTATTTCTGATTGATAGTTTTTTATCAAAATTTGAAATAACTTCAGCTTGAATGGCAAAATCTTCTTTTAGTTCTTCAAAAGAATTTTGTAATTTTTTAAGCATCTTTATGTGTTCTGCTGAGTCATGGTTGTTATTGGGTTCATGCATAGAACTGCCATGGGCTGTTCCCTTTTTTTTTTGTAGGTGAGAGTCATTTCATGGTCTCATAAGTTGTTGTTGTTGTTGTCTTGCAAATTGTTATTGTTGTTCATGATGTGATTGTTGTGATTGTTGTTGTTGTTGTGGTCTTCATGTTGCTTCTGCATAGGATTTTGGAATCCTGCAGTGTTGCACAGGCTGAAATTTGGTATATAGTTTTTGGAGTTTATTATCTTTTGCAGACTGTTGTTTTTTATTTGGACAAACTGCTGCCATATGATCAGGGTTGCCACAAATGTGACAGGTCTTTGCATCATCAGCGCACCAATAGAGTACATTCCCCTCATATGAATATTCAGTTTTTGCTGTGGCAGCTAGGTCCTTATCAGATTCAAAATTGATATAGGCATAATTAAGCTGTTTATAATTATTAGGATTTCTTGGTATGAATATAGAGTGGGCATTGATATCCTCAAGAAAGTCAATGATATCTTTTGCTCGGCAGTTGGTTGGCAAGCCAGCAAGCTTGAAACAATATTTTTGTCTTGTTTCATGTTGTTCTGCAGTAAGTGTATGTGGTAGCACACAAACACAATCTTTAATTATAAAGTTAACCCACACATTTCCTTTGAAATGTTGGATGTTTTCATGTGACTCATAGGTAATGAATGCATGTTGATATAGATTCCTTGTTCTCATAGTTAATTTTGTGATGAATGGTATGATTGTCAACCTTGTGTTTTTCCTCTTCTGGAGTAGGGGGTTTAATTTCGTCCCACTTGATGCAGTAGATCTTTTCTGTGTCAGAAACTTTAATTTCTTGTTGTATTGCCTTGTGTAAATCTTCCTCATTTATAAAATTAACAACCAAGTATTTGACTTTTTTGTTAATTCTAATGCGAGTTCCCGAATAAGACAAAAATGATGCAAATAATTTGTCTAAGTTCTTTGTCTTTTCTTTTGCAGTTTTCCCCTTAATTTTGTCAAAGGGGACACCAGCCATATGTTCTGTTTGACATATAATAGGAACAATCAGGGGAGCTTGTTCTTGATCAGTTAACTCCTCCATTAATATATCTGGGGATGAGCTTTCATCTTTATCTCTGAGTGTGTGTGGCGCAGTCTCAGTTTGAGAGTTCAAAAGAGGAGGAGAGGTATTATCAGTGGTTTTAGTTGACAAACCACTGTCTTGAATTTCAAATTGATTTTCTTTTCCTTTGTCTAAAATGACTTTGGAGGTTTGTTGAATAGGTTTTTCAACCATAATAACCTTGCCTTTGGTTGGCTTGGTAGCCTTGTTGTTTCCAGTATATATAAGCTGGAAGAGTATTCTGTAAAGTTTTATTTTGTATTTTAGCAGAGCATTTAGGCATGTTCACTTATTTTATCAAAGTATTGAACTAATACGGTGTGTATATTTTTTAGAAAAATAATTTCAAGTTACTTATTACTACAGTTTTGTAAAAAACGCGAAAGGAACAAGAAAGAGTTTTTTTTTTTTTCATGGACAATGTATTGTGAGATCAATTATTTTATTGGTAAATCAGTTTTTCCGATTTTATTTGCGTGTAACTTCGTAAATCATTTCCGATTTATATATCAGTTTCCCGTGATTTATAATTTACTATTTTACAATACCATACTGAATCTCTTCCTACTGTGTTTGGCTCTACACCAAACATACGTTTTTACATCATAAAAGACTTTTGTATTCAATAATCTTTCATTTTCATTAAAATATTTTTCAAATATTGAATTCATTTTTTTTCAAATGGTTACGCCTCTAAATAATATTCCCAAAATTATATATTAATGAGAACTAATTTCTTTTTAACATATTTAAATCTGGTCACATTTATTATCAATAAAGATTTACAAAATATAATAATAAAAGTAACAATCTAACATTGTATTTATTACTTTATTTTTTATCAATTATTTGAAAAACTTCTAATTCATCAAATTTACCCTTTACTATGTTGATGTTATTATAAGTCTTTGGTTTTTTACTACCAACCTCACTTTTCGTATTAAAATATAAATCATGACCACCACCACCACCAAACCTAGGTAAAAGAGAAGGATGACAGAAAATTGCATGCTTATCATCAATAACATAACTAAATTGAGCAGTATTGATATCTTTCCTATTACTTATATTAAATATAAAACCCTCAGTTGTATTTTTATATTCATTTCCATTCCAATTAAGTGGATTATAACCACCAACTATTTGTTCTGAATTTTGTATTTTACCAATTGTAAGAGTTTTGTTGATATTATCACATTTTTGATGAAATATGGCTGCATCTAAACCATCTCTACTACTACAATATAAAAGTTTGAATTCATATTTGACTCTCTTGAAGGAGGTATATGGTAAATTTTTTCTATCAATCCAACTTGCAAAAAGCAAAATAAAGTTTGGATTTATTGCCAATGATTCAAGTGTTGGTATCAAATTTGGAATTCTTGATGGTAATAAATTTAATGTTTGTTGTCTATCAGGAAAAAAATAATATTGTGACAGGGATCTCTGTAAAGTCCTAGGAAAAAGTATATCATATGGTTCAATTTTATCAAAAAAATCCTCTTTAGAAATATTCTGAAATCTTATTAGGTAAATAAATTCTTTTAATGTATTGCCTAAATCAACAAAATTTTGTGGTGACCAATCTTCAATATTGATATTATTGATTTCTGGATGTTTTGCCAAACCCCATTTAAGTGTGTTTTCCCAAATAATCATCTCATCAACAAAAAACTCTTCCCTTTTGAGAATTTCTAAAAGGACTGGTTTTTCCAATGATTTAAATTCATTTGATTCAAATAATTTTTCACCATAGTCACAAAATTTTTCCAAATAGATATTTTTTAATTCTTTAAAATCTTCATTAGCATAAATCAATTGTAAAATTTTAACTGAATTTTCTTCTATATAATCTTCATAATTTTCAACAAAGTATTTCATCATATATTCATAAAGTGACTCAATACCAAATTGGCCCGCTGCAATCAATAGTTCTAATATTTCAGCTCCAGAATAATTTTCAATTTCAATTTTACATGTATACAAAAATCTTTCAAAATAAATAAATTATTAAAAAGTTATTAATATCATTATTATATATTTATTAATAATAAATAAACAAATAAATAATAATAAATTTATTCAAACTTACTTGAGAATATGATTGAAACATTTTTCACTAATATTAACATTCTTAATAATATAATAATCATTTTCTTTTGTTGCATCACTTAATGCATTCTTAAAAAATGGACAATGAGCTGATATAATAGATGCATGTGCATGAACTTCTTTAACGTTTGGCTCTACATCAACATATATTTTTACATCATAAAAGTCTTCTGTGTTCAATAATCTTTCATTTTCATTAAAATATTTTTCAAATATTGAATTCATTTTTTTTTTTCAAAAAATTGTTACGGAGGAGAATATTGATGGGAACTAATTTTCTCTTTTAATTAATACTAATTTATCAATTTATTGTTGCGCAGTTGTAAAACGTAATGATAATTAATAAAAAGGTTTATTTGAAAATTTGGTTTAAATGATCAGCAGCGTGTTCCAAGTATCACACTAATACACTAGTATTATTATTATGTATTAAAATAAATAACGTTTTTTAAGAGTCTAATATCGCTTCGTCCCTTGGTAGACATATATATTGACCAAAAATCTGAAACTAAAAAATGATTATCAACATCAAATCATCAGATAACTAACTCGTAAATATTATTTAACAAATTCTGTCTATAACGACCTTCTTAGCCCAACCCAAAAATTCGTCATAGAGAGAGCGAACTGTAATCCATTTATCTATCTTTTGTTGACTTGGTAATACACTAATTAATCAATTCAAAGGAATAAAATCCTGATTATAACTATTTTAGGCAGTGATTGATAGACGTAGTAGTGGATCTGGAAATAGATATTTTGAACCCGTAGAAACAGAAAAAAGATGATTATATAAATTTTTAATACTAATTTGAATTTTCCTAACAATTTTTTTATCATTACTAGGTAAAACTGCAAGCATCATATTAAATTTGCTAGGTGCCAAACTTAAAATATAATTAATATTTAAACACAATCTTACTTTCTCAGATCGTAGGCAATATTGGTCAACTTGGAGGTTCGATTAGCATAATATTAGGAATTTACTCTATTTTTATTTATTTTATTTGGTAAGTTATTCATTTTTAATAAAAATAATCATAAAAATAACAATTAATAGTAATAAACAGGCGGATCACTCCTAAACCCATGGGGAATCTTTCAAAACTGTTGCGAGTATAAGCCAAGGGAACTTTTAAAAAATTTACCAATAATTCCCTTAACCAGAAACCAATTAGATTATTAAAAGTCTGAAAATTCAAATACTTTAGAATTGAAGATCGTCTTATCTCACAGTTCTGAGAGAGTATATTATAAACTCGGATTTCCTTGATGAATTGGAACTGGAAAAAATGCCCAAAAAAATTAAATAGTATTTTTATCCTGAAACATGATTCTCTTATTACCCTTTCAGGACTAGCTTTTATACAAGTTTCTACAAACATATGGAATTTGGTTTATCTGATAAATTTTAAACCAAGGCGCTTTTTTCTTGCTTAAATTAAGTTGATTTACTGATCCTTCTGTTAGTCTGAAATAATAGATTTAAAACGATTGCTAAAATTTTTTGAATTTGACTCGTAATTACCATAATTGAGATATTTTTTTTTTATTCACAAATAAATAAAGCTGTAGAACCAATTAATATTTGCAATTGTTCTTTTTTTAAATGATAATTAAAAATTTGATACATTGTATCCTCAACGCTCCAAAAAGTTGGATTACACTTGGGAATTTGTTGATTAACCAAGCTTTGACATGTCACCGTATGCTCTAATCCAAAAAGGTACAATTTCAGCAAGTTATGAAAAAGTAAATTATTTTTTTTAATCCTAGCTTCCTTTCGTTTAGGATTTTTCTAATTATAGTAAAAAATACCGTCAACGAATATCATCATTCTTTTGTTGCTTTGACTCCTGAATTCTTTTATAATATTGTGAAGCGGCAAGTTGAATTGTTTATTTTTTGTTTCTTTAGTTATATTATTTATATTTTAGTCTCCTTTATTAGGTAAAAAGGAAGAATTCAAGAGCGCTTAGCAACTATATAATTAATCATTGATAATAATTCATTGGGCATATGGGAAAATATCTCCAATGTCCAGGACAACTATCATTGGGTGGATATATGTGTTGGACAAAAATGAATTCATTAAAAAATCTATAGTCAACGATCGATCACAGACATCATTTGCGGGGACAAATTTGCTTTTTTTAATAATAATAAAAAAGTAGGGGATGATAAATATATATTTAAATATGAAGCATAAAGGAAATTATTGACATCATCATTCAATTTATTGAAAGTCGAAAACTTTTTTACTCGCCCCGCTATCCCAAGTAACTATAATGAGGCTCGTTTACAATTTAGGATTGATGAATTTTGTGACTTTATACCATTTTCATGCTTTCTTGCGAGGAAATATAACGGCGCGGTATAATTTGATAATTGTTCACCTGATGTTTTTCTTCAAGAAATAGCGACAAAGTATGTAATTTTTTAAATTATGCAATAAATAAAGATGTCATTTCATTCGTATTTAATTAAGTTCGATGTTAAACAACCCTGGAACATGTTGTGTAGATCATACCCAGATAATTCTGTGACATGCGCATGAAAAAAGTTGCGATGTCCATGATTTTTTTTTCAAATCCTGCATCTAACTTGAACTTTTGAATAAACCTATGCCTTACATAAAAATCATTATCGAACATGCAACCCAAATTAGATTTGTTGTGACAACGAATTGATCAACTCAAGTTTGAGAACGCCTAGGTTAATGCTGAGAATATGAAGTCAAAACAAGCTATAAAAGAGGATGTCTTGCTTAAGGTCAGACACGCAAAACTAAAGTAGAAAAAACCGAGCTCATTGCAAAGCTGAATTATGATATCGAAGAAATCAAGCAGGACCAAAACGCTATTAGTGTTTCAGCGCAAACCGACACATCTATAACAAAACCTCCCATTGATTCAGAAATATAGGTATATGTATCAGCGTCTTTGCTATGTGAGACTTCTCAATCATCCCATTCTGTTACCTGTTGAGGATCACCCCGAAATGAATCTTATTAATACATCTGATAACGCATCTAATTCTGGTACATGTCAGGAGTTGACGATTCAATGCTCCACATCTCCTATCCCACAGAAAGAAGATAAAAAGGTCAGTGATTTTATGGATTTGCAAGATAAGGTAAGGGTTCGTGATATAAGAGAAAGAAAAGAAAAGGATAGGCATAGTTTCGAGTCTCCGACTCATCGAAATCCAGACTTATCTTTAAGTGTTCACAGTTTTTTCTTCCAGAAGAGCCAATGTCATCCAAGCTACCATGTGATACAAAATTGTCAATATTGTTCACAATCGAGAAAAATTTTTACAAAGGAAACAATATTAAATTTATTAATTGAAAGTCTTCAGTTTCTGCATCTGGTGCACATTTGTTAGGTAAAGCAAGAAAAAATTCTATCAGGGCTAAACAGGAAGAAAATTCATCTTGAGGACGCTATTCCGAAAGATTCGAAGATAAGGATATTAAAGATAAAACTATAATGGCCTAGATTTATAATGAAATGAGACCATACCTTACGGACATTACTGTTAAATATAATGCAAGGTAACAAGCAACGCGAGAAAATTCTTGAGCTATTTGGATGGATCATAATCCTATAACCCGAAAAAGTTAAAGAGGATGACATATGATTAATCGGTTTACCTATAGCATGGATACTATTCAAGAATTATTAGTCTTCAAATCCAGTATATTGTAGATCAAGTGACTTTGAAAACCGTGAACAAAGTTCACGATCAGAATCATGGTACTTTGAAAGTTATTGTAAGTATGCCTATCCAAAGCTTACGTTCCGGATAAATATTCCAATCAAATCTCAAGTCTCCAAGCCTGACTCGAAAAATTTACCAGAACAAAGCATCCCGCAAAGTTTGAAGGATCTGGGTTTGATTGAATAATGATTTATGCAGGTTCAGCAGAAATTGAGGTAAGTGTCTCAACCACATCTCCTACTCTTATCTCTAGCCATTCTGTGACTGTTTCTTGGCAATTCTTCAAGTTTTAATTCGGATTTCTCTGAAGATAATGAGGCAAGTGATGTGAATGTAATTACTCTGATGACGAAAATTCGTAAGAGTATTATTGGAACTTAAGTAGTGAAAAGTAAATCCTATAAAAAATCCATGAAATGGACATTCTCTGCATAATTTACTATACTTTGATCGTTAATATGTTTTTCAGATAATTAACATGGGTTGCTTACAGAATATCTCATACATTTTCATGTGACATCAGGCATTAATTCGACATATGATTTGATAATTAACTCTCGTAGCTTAGATGCAAAAGCATCCTCATTTCATGAGACAATACCGCAACAGACAAATTATAGCAGAAATAATTCCTCTGGAATATATATATTGTAAAGACATTTAAAAACATATATACATTATTGTCATCTAATACTGGCACCACTTGCATCTTCTTGGAAAGATCCCAGATTGAATACCAATTGTAATCATAACCCTCCTACTATATATTACTCTGGACATCCCGAGTTTTCAATGATATTATCAAAGATTGACTCTATCACTATAGAGCATTAGATACGAACCATTTTCTCTTTTTGAATTGACCTATAATATACACAGTGAGTCTCGGTATAGCGGATAATTTGGGCAATTAGAACAAAAATTTCAAAAATCCGTTATAATTCAAGATTTAATTAGTAAATCCGTTAAACCGAGAGAATTTACTTATAGACGGTTCTGAGCTTTGATCCGTTAAACCGAGAGTTTTATTAGACATCCGCTATACCGAGGTCCGCTATACCGAGACTTACTGTGTACAGAGCAGTGAAAATGAGAAATGAGGTATATATGAAAAACAAAAATTGCTTCCTTCTGAAACAATCAGAGAAATCGTACAACTTACCATGTAGTGGGATTTTCCTTAGCCTATTTTTTTATCATCCTCATCATGAACAGCAAGGTAAATGTCATCTAGTCCCACTATGTAAAAGTATCATTGTTTAATCGTATTTTTTTTAGAAAGTGTATTCTGTGTGCAATTAATAAAGCCAATAGGAGAATTTATTTATCAATTTTAATTGAAAGTTCTCCTTCCATTGTAGACTTTTTTTTCAACAAAAATATAAAAGTAATATAGTTGCTAACCCACCTCACAAAATCCAATTATTTATATGTCCATTCGCTAAATCTAAAAAACCTGCTAGGTGGAAAAAAATTACATGATTAGTGATTACATTACCATGACCATTTCTCAGATCCTTTCTCCGTAAAGTAGGTATATTAGAACCATAAGCACTATGCACTGAATATACGAGTCATAGACTCCTTAACTTTGTCAAGATTCGTCATTTATGGGAGAATATTAAACCCCTTGCATGTGGTCTGACGATGAAAACTCGCTGCTATCATCATTATTTAATGAATGCCTCCCCCGCTAAAGATGCTGAACAAATGATGACATTTAGCGATTTTGAAATAATAAATAACACCTTTTAACTCAGTTATGATATGAAGGATCATTGAAATGACGAATTTAGAAAAAGGATCACGACACTTCTGTGCTCATAAAAATGAAAAGATAACGCAAATGTTAATAAGAATAATTTGGGGTTTTATTTATAAATGGTGAAATTTTTTAATAAATACATAGTAAAATATTGTTAAAAGTTTCAGGTTTCAGGAAACATAATTAATTAATGGATTAAAAATTCACTCTTTTTTTTTCCTAATATGCTATTCAACAAGGGAATTTGATTAATCAACCAAATAATCAATTCTCTCAATTCTCTCTTCTAACTTTGGTCCTAAAATTCATTTTATGAAAAAATTTCTCAAAACAAATAAATAAATAATAATAATAATAAAATACCTTTTCTTCACTCATTGATATTCTTTCAACATAAATAACATAATATATAATCTATATATTTGATATTTTTAATTTTTTTTTATAATTTGTAAAATAAAAATAAGATAATTTCTTATTTTTCTATCTAATTGATGAAAATGATTTTTTGCTAATCTTGAATTTTTCATATCCACTTCTAATATATATTAAAAACAAAGCAATTGTTTAATTAATGTTGAAATAAAATAAATTGATTTTTTTAAAGGATATTTTACTTACAATTCATATATATATGTCAATCAATCAATCATTATTGAGTGAATGAATTTGATTGATTGATTAAATTTGTAAATTGGTTTTTTTTTTGTTTTAAATTACTTAATTTTTCTTTTTCCTACAACAATCAACCTGCCCTTACTAAAGTATCTTTTATTGTAATAATTCTAGTAGGATCCTCTGGATAGTGGTGTTGATCACAATTATAATAATGTAAGTGCATATGCTGATTGTAAACTGAAATATTGACATATTATATACAAGTCATGTTATAAAAATATTTTTCCAAAGATATTTCATATATTGAAAAATAAAATGAAAAAGAAAATTTTAAAGGAAAATAAATAATATATGATGACTATAGTGATGATAAAAAATGTTATTTTAATATATGTGATATATGTAAATATATATATTCCAATTTTCATGAAATTTTTTTTTATTTTTGATAAAAAAAAAAATCGGAGTTTTTTAAAAATTACTATTATTAATCAAAGCTAGTTGATTTTCCTCTGTTTCTTTTTCTGCTAATTTATTTAAAGCTTCAATTTCTTCTTGACTATTAGCAAAAAGTAATTCTATTTGTCTAGTTGCCAAAGCAGTTTGATGAATGACTTTCTCCAATTCCCAATTTACTTTATCAAGATCTATTTGCGATTTTCTAACACTTTCTGTTAATTTGGCCTCTGCCTCTCTTAACCGTTGTCCTTCGATCTTACAATCCGCCCACTTAAATAAATAGATGTATCAAAATGAAGCAATTAATAAGTAACAATTAATGTAACGATTGTAACAGTTGATTAATTAATTAATTAAAATAATAATAAATTTATTACGGTTTCTTCATATGTTGGAGCATAAACAGGAATTTGAATAGGCTTTGTGTGTTGTTCAAATAAAGTTTTTTGTGGAGATTGGTTGACATTTAAAGAATTACTAGTAGAAGATGTGCTACCGTGTTGTAATGTTGATTGTAATTGTTGTTGTTGTGGTGGATATGAAGAAGATCCATGGTAGGTGGAGGAAGAAGAGGAGGAAGAAGAAGAAGAGAGTGAACGATGATTATAAAGATAGTTATTGTTGTGATGATGGTCGTGATGTGATTGTTGTTGATAATAATTATGATGGTGGTGATAATTTCCATTTCTTGAATATGATGAATTATTGTTATATGAAGAAGGTATTGGTGACGGTGATCGAGATGGTGCATTCTTGTTATTATTGTTATGGTCATTATTATTTGGTCGAGAGTACGGACTGTATAAAGAGGAAGTGCTACTACTATGTGATAAAGATGATGGTCTTCTTTCATAAGATGATTGAGGAAGTTGATGTGGTAATGGTTTACCGTATAGTCTTTGATTCCTTGACGGTGGCAATGGTGGTGGTCCGCCTCCATACGAAGAAGAAACTTGTTGTTGACCTCTAAATGAAGATGTAGAAGCCATTTAATTATTATTAATGAATAATTTTTATTTTAATTTTTTAATTTAGTAATGAGTACAAAGTCAAGCTTATCAAATTTTTAATGATCGACATTGAAAATTTTAAAAATGATAATAGACGTGGAGTCATAACTTCACACTATCGGATTGAACCTCGGAGATTCAAATATCAACATCCGAAAGATTATCTCACTCGATTATCTATCGGCAGATTACTTCATCTAAACCTTCCTCGTAAGGTTTAACTCAGGGATATGGGGTCACGACCCACAAATAGGGTAGAGAAATGTAGCTTATGGTAGTATTGGTATATTAGTATGGAGATGCTCGTTTTTTTCGTGATCCTTTTGGTACACAAGTGGAGGGTAGGTCTATTTACATGGTTTTGTAATAATTTATTAGACTACTAGATCACTGCACGAAATACTCCATTTTGTTAAAAATTACATCCTTGAACATGAATAAACATACAACAGTATACTAGGATGCTCCGCATTCAGTTCGAGCGTAGCACTCACGTGTGGCTAACTTTATTAAATCGGCCATACTCCTATGTGGGCAACTACACGTAATCAACTATTCCTATGTGAACAGATTTATGAAATCGACCCACCACTTCTATGTGGCCAGAATTATGGAATTGGTTACCTGAGGCGAATATGGTCTAGATTTAAATAAACACCCCTGGTCTCGTAGAAAGTTTGTAAAAGGAGAGGCTATGACATACTTAATGACTTGAGTACTTTTATCAAAATAAATTCACGTTACATACATATATTTCCTTCTTTAAATAAAAATAAATAAAAAATTTTTTCACTATAAGACTTTATTTGCTTAATTACATTTTTTTTGTAAACATGTGTTAATTTATAATTTTACATAAAAAATCAATCGTTTATATGATATTGATTCACACATGTCTTATGGTTTGACTAGCAAACAGTCCAGACTTAAATCCTATTGATTAAGAGAAAGGACGCCAAAAAATTATGAGAGTTTGTCAATTTATGACATGGAATGGAGTTCAATGAAGAGAATAATGACGAAAGAGTACCGCCATATTAAAATTTATCAATAAATTTGCTATTTAATGATTAATTCGTGGTCCGCTAGATTTTTAATATGTAGATCTGGGATATTAAACATACATATTAATATTAAAAATTGATTGATGATCAAAACCAAAACTACCATTTTTATTTTAAAAAATAATAAACTGTTTATTTTATATCTATAAATTCTATAAAAACTTATTTCAATCATGAATAATTTATCTGTGCAATTATTATCTAGTGGTATTATTGATCCTGATTTACATTATGGAGTACATGCAAAGACCTGGTGGTTTCAAGCTTCTAAAAACTTAAGCAATATTTGTTATTGGAATCCAATCTGTGTTGGAATGAAAACACAATTTATCCTTACGTGTTATAAAAGGTAACAAGCTCAATGCACTTCATCCAGGATATTGTTGCCAATATGATGAAATTTCAAGTGAAGTTGAAAGTAATCCAACTGATGCTGTTTCCAATTTATATCAAAAAATTTTCCAAAGCTCAACAAGAATTTCTGGAATTAAAGCATTAGGATTTGAGTCAAATGACATTGTTCAAGAATTATTATTAAACATTGAATTTAGAATATATTCAATTCAAATTGAAAGAATTAATTTATTTATTTATGGTTTAGGTATTTCAAAAAATAAGGAATTTTGTGGAGCTGGAAATGGATACATACCTTCCTTTAATATAAATTTTCAAATAAATGGTGTATATTTATTCAAAAAATAATCAATGATAAATTTATAATTGAGATATGGCATGAAGATGAATTACTTAAAGAAATTAAAAAAAATGATCCAAATGATGCTTGGAAAGGGCTAGGAATTCTGAATAAACATGAAGGAAAAAAAATTTCTGGTTTAAATAATAATATAACATCAGTAATTCTGGAAGAGTTGAACACTTTGGCTTGTACTCCAAATGATTGGGATGATTACTATAAAAGAACATAAAAAAGAAAGTTACATTTCACAAAGATTGGGAGAAGTCAATGTAAGACAACAAGAAAGGTTTTATCCAGAAGGAATTAATCAACAAATCATCAGGAAATAATCCAACAAGAGAGATTTTATCCAGAAGAAATTGACCAACGAAAAGAATTATATCCAGAGAATAGGAGATATGAAAAAGAATGGAAAGAATTTAGAGAAGGAAATCCTCGAGAAAACAACAAAACTCATTTGATAGAAAGAAAAAGAAATACTTGCTCAAATTGTAATGAGGAGGGGCATTACTTTCAAGATTGTCCAGAAGTAGAATGTGGAATATGTAGAAAAAAGGGACATATTAAAAGATTTTGTCCAGAAAGAATATGTGGAATTTGTGATAAAAAAGGACATTTAGAAAGGGATTGTAAAAATCAAAGAATAATTAATGATTTAGGAAAAGAATTCTCGTTCAAAAAGAATTTTGAGGAAAATGGATACCAACAAAATAATATTTATAAATCTGATTGACTAGGAAAATGTGAAGAATGTAAGATAGAAAGTGACTTAATAGAATATCATCATGTTGCAGGACATCATTGCAGATTAGAAAATTGTAAGGAAATATCATATGAAAAAGATTTAAAAGATCATCATTCACATAAAATTTGTAATAATTGTCACAAGAACATACAAAGAAAAGAAGAGAAAAAGTTGGAATATCTTCAAAAAGAAGAAAAAGAAAGGATTAAAAGAAAAAATCAAGAATATGAGACATTAGAATTTGCTCAGAAAATTACAAAAAGATATGAAAGAAAAATAAAAACATTACAAATGAAATCATTGAGAATGCTAGAATAAGACATTTTGAATGGTTAAGTATAACAGACCCAGAACAGCAAAGAAAATACAAATATCATTGTGAAAGGGAACAATGTTCAAGGCCCTTGAAAAATTTACATTATATGCAGATCCTAGATAAGGTTGTATGCAAATCATGTGAAAAAATATTTGCAACACAAATATATGAAGAATACTTAAAAAGGACAAAGAGGCTTAGTTAACAATTAGAATTACTAATCAAAAACAAGTATAAAAGAAGAGGAAAAGAATTCACTTCATAAATAAGAATAATAATAAAAATAATAATAAAAAATGACAGGAAAAACTATTGGAAAAAGAAAACCAACTGAATACTTATCTAAAGATGAAAAAATGAAAAGAATAAATAATCTCAAGAAATTAGAAAATGAAGAAACCAAAAGGTTGAGACAGAAAATAAAAGAATTAAAAATCTTCAAAAAAGAATATCAGGGAGTCTTTGGGGAAGAAATATCTGAAGATGATTTTGAATATCATTTTAATATCGAACTAAAATTAAAAACATACAAAGATCTTTGGTTAAGAAAGATGAAGAAGCTAGTAGAATAATTCAGAATAATTAGTAATCAAAAGCTTCTACAACTTTCCGTATTACGAAAATTTTTTACAATTTATTTTTTATATAAATATCATGTATTTTGGAAAGCATAATGGACATTTGATTTCATTGGCTAAATTTTGTGATATCTGCGATTACCCCCTTTCCAAAAGTCACACACAAAATTAATTTCTATTGGTTTAAAAATCGTTACATATTTGCATTTTTTTAACAAAGTAAATATTCTTTTTAATAAAGAACTGTTTGTTTTTTAACAAGGTTTTCTTTGTAATTAACAAAGTGACAGTCTTTCTTTGTTTTTCTAACAAGAATGAATTTTCTTCAGCATATATAACAAAAAATTGTTTATAAAAAGACAATAAATTTGTGAAATTTAACATTGAAAAAAAAATAATAAAATAATAATATAAATACAATCATAAACATAATATTTTAAATAATTTAAAATGTCTCCTAAAAATCCTGGTCCATGTGTTATTGAAGGTTGTGGATCCCAGGGTCCATTTAGAAAATTCACTGAAAATGCCAAAAATAATTCTATAATATATAAAACACATGAAACTTATAATTACCTTCAAATTAATGATCAATTATGTCAATCACATTATTTATTAATTGTAGAGCCATATAGAGGAAGAGATGCTGGTAAAAAACGAAGATCAGAAGAACTTGATGTAATCTATATTGTTGAAGATGTGGAATTATCCCATATTTTGGAAGATTCAACTGATGATATTGAAGCAAATTTTGATTATTGGTCAGATATAAAAGTTAAACGTCATGAAGATAATGTGACTTTATCAAATGAAGATTTTGCTCTTCTAGTAAAAAAATTAAAAAAGATGCAAGAAAAATTAAGTAGATATGAAAATAAATTAAATGAATTTCATGAGAAAATTAAATTATTATCTAATGTCCTATATCAAAGACAAAGGCAATTAAATTTAGATATTGAGTTAGACCCTGAAAATTTTAAAAATATGATTGAACAACATAACCAAAAATTAAAGGGTTTTTTTGATGAATTAGTAAATATTTTTTTACCTTCTAATAGATCCACATATAATATAGAAAATGCCAAAAAATCACTTGTTGGATTTTGTTATTTATTAGCTGGTCTAAGTAATAAATTTAATAATTCCCTCCAATTAGAAATCGGCCTTTATTTATCTTCATGTGGAGCAACCACAGAATGCATTGATGTGATGGCAAGACTTGGTATTTCAGTATCATACAAGACGGTAGAAAGATATAAGAAAAAGATTGCAAGTAGACATCTAGAAAAAATAAATAAGTATTTTGAAGAAAATAAAAATAAATTATTTTGCTTCAATATTGATGATTACCATTCAATTCATAGCTTTAGACAACCAAACACGACAACACTTTCAACAGCTTTTCATATGGCTACTTGTGTTTCTAAAACTGTGAAAGATAGTGTAGCTGTATTGGCAGTTAGTAATGATGTTCCAATACATAATCCTGCAAATATTGAAGATTGGCGCATTAATTTTTATTTAATAAATGAATATATTGATTCATTAAGTAATAGTTACAATTCAGTAAAATTAAGTTGGCTAAAAAATAATGCAAATACCTTTAAAACATTTGATAGGCTAGAACTTTTAAGAATCCATTCATATGATGATGCTATAGAGGAACGTCAAAATGATAGATCTATGATGGACTGCCACCTAATTAATATAAAAGAACAAAATCTTAAAAATTTAAATGATTATTTAAATGTTCTTAAGATGATTATAGAGATATCTTCATTGAATGATTACCTCCAACATTATGTTATACCAGTTGTTGCTGATTTTCCAGGTCAACTATTTATAAGAAGAGCAATAACTTTGTTTCATAAACAAAAAAATGGGGAAAATGTTTCAACACAGATACCTGAATTTATTAATAATTTTATCCCAATACTTGGTCCATTACATGTATCATTGAATATGAGAGAAGATATTGTAGCATCAGTTCACTGGAAATTTTTTGAAAAAATGTTTAAATCAGTTTTTGGTAAAAAAAAAATATTGGCAAAAAAACCTAAACCTACCAGAATCAATATGCTTTTAGAACTTGCAAGTTCAGGGTGGAAAGAGATTGCAAAAGAGATATTTTGCAAATTTGGCCCACTTTGTAAAGATGTAGAATTCCAAACATTAATAGATCTCTTGGATAATTTAATACCTGCTGCTTTAGATATCTACAGTATAATCTTTCGTTCAGGCTCTTGTGATCAGTATGTAGATACAATTTTCAGATTGTGGACATTTGCATTAAGGTGGAATAGAAAAAATTATAATAAAATCCCATTAGCATTCCTTTCTGATTA